AGTCAACAATTCGTTTTTTATCCACTAATATCTCTAGAATTAGATTTTTGAGACAAAAAGTCAACTGTGTACCTAGATATAGTTCTTTCCATACTACATTAGATAGTTGGACTCTCGTACTATTTATATTCCTACTCTCGAATCAGATTTGTAATTTTTCATCTAAAAAATCAGTATGTAATAAAAAAACGAAAGAAAAATATTTGCAAAAATTTTGATGACTGACTGTAAGTTACGTATAGCATTTTATTTGTTTCGTTCTACTCACTAACGAAAGATGTATATGTTCATAGCTTTGACAAGACAGCATTCACTGCGACAATCATACTCATGTTGCACTATAGCAAATGCTCATGGTTGTTTATCAAATCAATTTTATGAGCCTGATATTCTGATGGCATGAGTTCTTATACTGGAAGATATTCATGTCTTATACAAGTTGTAGATGAATGAAGAAATGATTAAGGGATAGATAATGAAGCAGGAGCGAGATATATGTTGCCAGCATATACGTTAACAATGACGCTTAAAAAAACATTCTATACATGTGAACTAAGATCAATCACGTCTGAAAATTTCATTTTTACGAACAGATTTTATACCTGAACATGTACAATTAAATACCGTTCTTGAAGTAAAAAATTCCAGGCAAACATCATGAATTCTTGCGAGAATCTATATTACTATTGCATAATTGATGTATTGAACATCATAAAGAATGTAAGCAAGTATGTTAAAGACACATTGTAAAAAATTATGAAAAAAATAAAATGATGTATGACGTCCATGTACAAGAAAAGATTTACTTAATTATATAATTATATCATAACTCTCTATAAAAGATAAGGCGTAATTTTATTTTATTAATTTCTTTTCTATGTTTTCATACTCAGGTATGTCGTAGTGACCTATAGAGAAACTTTTTCAGGAAAAGGATTGGTCCTCTCTATTGCATCTCATGAATACGTCGCTGATATGTCATCCATAATACTTCAGGCTAATAAAGCATTATTAATCATTCAACTTTAAAATTCAAACTGATCAATAGAATCAGAATGATTAGATTTATTACAATAAATATTTGTCATCTAGGCAAAAAATTCATAAACAAGTAAGATAAGAAGATAATTACCTGTGGTACTGAAAATCAATCTGCTCACATTGTACATATCAAGAAAATCATCACCAGAACATAATTTGAAAGGCTGTGTCGAAAAAGAAATAATGAGATATAAAATTTGTTCAATTGTATAAGAAAATTTTAGTTACATCATCGATTTAATATTAATGAATGAAGTTTAATAAAAAGAAAAGATCTTTTTGGATATTTACGTCATGCTGCAATGATGATTAGAAAAAGTAACCACTAATGAAAAGAAAGAAAAATTTGACAATCTATTTCTTTTTGTGAACATTTTATTGTTTAGTTTGAAAAGTAAAATGTCATGACGACTGCTATGAATTACATCATCAAGTAACTTATATTTTCTAAGACTGAAATATCCACAAAATGAATAATTTCTTCATTTTTCTTTTTCATTTATTAATTTGTTTATTGTTGACTTTTAATAAATGAATAAAAAATCACAAGCTGTTCTATTGATCATTGAAGTTAAATTTTCTGTAAAAATTCACACAACAATCAAGAATATATTCTACTTAAAACTGAATGATGACCTATATCTCTCAATTTTTTTACATATTTCGATATGTATGTAAGAAAACATTTCAATAACAGTATGATATTTATTTCAGTTATTATTTAAAACTATTTAATTAATTTTTTTCTTTCTTAACCTTTGTTGTTTTTATTATTTTCTCTAGTATATTGGAGAGTGTTGTAGAATAAAGAATTATTTATTTAAATAACTATTAATAAATATGTGCTTTTTAAGGCAATAAATGAATGATTTGTAAAAAATTCTTTATAAATATTAAATGACAAGAACAATAGTATGACTTCTCCTTATTAATTTTTTTTTCAGTTTTTATTTTCATAAGAGCGTGTGCAAGGTACTGTCATATATGATCGATTGTCGATATTGCTACTTCATTGTTCATCGAAAAGAAAAAAAACAGCAAAGAACTCAGTGATTCGATGATCATTGGCGTATACTTTAATTGTTAGTAACTATTACAAGGAAAATATTTTCCAAATGAAAAGCAGGTTGTTGATATCTTGTTATTTCAATTATGATTGATGACGTATGTCTTGTAGGAAAACGATGTATAACAATACTTCTTGTCATACTTTACTGATTTATAATTTACGATATCAATAAGGAGAATTCAAAAGAGCATTGAAAATAGTGAAAATGATTTGTATCATATTGATTCTTTTGACTTTCTATTTTTCAATATTTTTGACTCGTTGCAATCCGTAAATTTACAGAAGACATTAATGTCGATAGTATGTCTTTTTAAAAGTTAGGTTCAGTGTAGTACTGATTAAAAAAACTTATTTTTGACTAATTGAGCAGTAAAAGAATCAATATAAATCATAACATGATTAGAGCAGAGATAAAAAGAAGAAAAAGATGTGATTGCATAATTTATGCAAACATCAAAGCATACAAATCACTAGAATTTTATTTTTATCTAAATAAATACTTTGTAAAATTACAAAAAACAAAGAAATATTACATAGAACCAAACTTGAGACTCAAAGTGAATAATAATTGACTGAATCAAAAGTAAAAATCATCACTAAATCTTCTATATAGTTATTTGAGTAAATTTTCTCATCAATGACGCTATAATCAAGATGGAACTGACTATAGCTAACTAAAACCTTTAACATTTACCGAGAAATGAATCGATAAAATGAATATTAAAGAATTCACTTTGATTGAATACAAAAAATTTTGATATTTTTTCTTTCAGTTAAAAATAAAACCTTATACTTGAAACTATTTGAGATCTATTATGACTGGAAACCATTTTGATGGGCAATATTCATATAGTTAAATTTGAAAAATCAAATAAAAAAAACTAACTTTCAAAGATATTTTCTCATACAATGTAGTACTTTATTGTTTTTACAACATTTTTTTTTGTGATATACATTATCTGTATGATTTGATTATCAATAAATGTTAACTTTTGTAACTATTCATTCTTTTTCTGTGACGTTTCAATGAACTATTAACTGAAGCTATGATGTTAAACTTATATTTGATAATTCTTAGCATTGCTATTCAGTTTATTTTGCTTTAAAATAATAAAGGAAAGTCAGGTCTTGTTAAAACAAATGCCAACAGCCTATTAGATTTTCTGCTTGGCATATCTATTTGGATTGCACATGCAGTCGTGATATTTAGCTCAATAAACTTTCTACTTTTATTATTTAATAAATTATCTTGATCAAACTTTCTATTTAAAGATTTTAATGCACGTTCTAATGCAAGAACAAACACAACAAATCTATGAATCGAGATCGTTTCACTATTAAATTTTAGCATCATCAGACTCACAACTTTTATAAAAAAAATGTCTTAAATGCACAGACAATCGTCACTTTTCTGCACGATGGTCTTCATTTGTGTCATAAGATTGTTGTAGAGTGGATGTAATTCTCGATCTGTGTGTATTACGATCTTTTCTTCTAGTATTTAACTTTGATTCACAATTTCCTTACTGAAATTCAAACTAAATATAAATTTCCAAAAACAAAAGAAATGCATACAGTGCCTTATCCATGGTTTTATATTTTAATATCATTTATAAACAAGTAAACATAGTCGACAAAATTAAATTAACTATATTCTGTTCGAAAAAAGTCATCTCATCACTATCTGAGTATTCAACAGAACAATTATCTATCAGATTTTTCTTTCGTGGAACTCGGAATCCATACCGATTCCACACAAATCTAAAAGTTTCAAGATGGTAAAAAATCTCATGAACACTAGTTTTTAAGCAGGATTCAGTTCGATAGCAGCGAAATCTAAAGGAACAAAGGCTGTTACATTCTTCAACTTCATATGCAATGTTTTTGAACATGAAACGAATTTTTGTGTTGATCATCATTCATATATTAAGATTTTCTGATTCTTTCTTCACCAAATAAATATAAAATAATTCAGGATTAGTATTGAAATAATTTAAGAAAGGCGTACAGTTTTATACTTAACATAATGACGAAAAGCGTATAATAAACTGGTAATTCTTAATAGGATTTTTTCCTAAAGTTAGACTTCCCAGAAACATTTCATACTGATACTGTAAAGTAGAGAATTATATGCAGATTTCATATATAATTTACTCAGAATTTGTTATTTGTTTAGAAATGGTGTCTGATTATATAAACGATTACAATTTATAGAGCTTGAAATTTTGTGTTTATTTACACAGAAAGAATTTCTTTGTATGGCAAAGTCATGAGAAAGTTACTTAAGAAATGTAAAAATTGATAATAAGATATATAAAAATATTTTATACATCTTACAAGAAGAATGGAATTTTTGAAGTTCATTCAGCTGATCAAAAATTGAACTATGCAGATTTCTTATTTACTGACTGAGCAAATATTAAATGCTATAGAAGAATACTTAAGAAAGAATCTTACCAATAGCCAGTAATTTAATCTATCTCATCCTTATGAATTTTAAATATTAAAAGCATGAAAATGATTTATATCGTTAGATAATCGTATCCATCGATTATTTGATTGAAATATATTATGTCATTACTCGTTGAAATATATATATAAAATATAATTCAATATAGTTGTACAAGTGTTAACATAGGAGACATGTATGAATATGAGGATTGCCAGATCAAAAACACACCCGAATAGCAAAAGAAAAGGATTATTTCTTTACCAGTTTTACTAAAATTAATGGCATATATTGCAAGACAAAGAAGCAGATAAAACAACAAAGGTTAAAATAAAAGAATATAATATTCATACCAATTCTTTCACACTTTCGATATTTATCACTACTACAGTATTAGACATCAACGAATAAAATTCAATAAAAATCAGTTTTAATTAATTTTTATTGATTACTTTGAAAATGTCGTTGTATCCTAGCTCGGTAAGCGATGAGAGTTTGTCGAAGTTGTTCCTTATAAAATTTTGATGGCAATACGAATACAACAAATGTAAGCATTGGTGGAATGAATGAAATAAAATATCCTATAAGAAATAACCATGAGTCATCTGCTGATTTCATACATCTTGACACATATGAAATAATTAAACGTGGTAACGCAAGAATAACCAATACAACAGGGGCAATAAATAAATTTTTGTGTTCTCGAGCTTGTGCTTTTAAAAGTTTTTTATAATTTGCATTATTTTGAACATTTGCTTTTTTACGAGTTTTCTGTACTATCAGGATAACAGCCGATACTATATTAATAATAAATGGAGCGAAAAAATGAAATGTATTGATAAAAGAATTGTATGTTTGTAAACGAGATGGATAAGTTGCAATACACCAAGTTCGTTTATCATCTTCATTTTCTTCATCAATTAAATGTCGATGAAACAAATCATAAATATTTGTAGAAACAATGGAAATTGAAAGAATGATGATAACTATTTTAGCATTGGTTTTGCTTTTTTTGTTATTAAAATTAAGACCTTTTAATACAGTAATACTTCTTTCTACAGCTATACATGCATTTAACCATTGATCCATATTAAGACAAACTCGTAAAAGAAAATCAAAAGACACACATTGAATTTGTAAAAATACTCTATTGGATATAACTGTCATTTGTGCAAGAACAAGTATCCAAAATTTTAATCCAAATATAACTACTGTTAGTAAAGTTGTAATTGATGAACCTATTAAATAGAAACCACAGCCAACTTCGCATACTTGTTTATTTTGGAATGTTATTAATGACAAAATTCCATTGATAACTCCTACAACTATGCTGACTATTACTACTGATAAACTAAATAGTACAATACTTGGTTGATTAAGAAGATTAATATGTGGTTGAATATGATAGCCTAAGATACCATCAAGTGATAGACCAAATCCATTTACACTAAATTGACATCGTGTTCCATAAAAGCATGGTGAACATATACATACTGATCTTGTTGGACATATATCATCGTCTTGAAAACATTGACCTCCACCTTCACAAGAACTTTGACCTAAACAATTGTAACTCATATTATGATTAAATTCAAAACAATTAGCTAAACGTTGTTTTTGAAGATCATAACATAAACATAGATGAATATCATCATAAAAACAAGAAAGATTTAAATTTTTTTGGCATGATACATGATAATGTTTGATACGACGAAGGAGATGTCTTTGAACGAAACTTTCATTAAATAATTCACTTATATTTTGACATCGATCAAATTGATTGATCATTACAGTAATATTTGCTGTTTGTTGGTAGGTGCTTTGTGTATGAGCTAAATAATAAACTTTATTGTAAATTTCAATGAAAATAAGATTAAATGGCTTGGACCAAAATATTGTAATTGATTTTTGTATAGGAGGTATTGTTCGAAGAGTAGTTGTTCGTTTTGGAACATCATTCTGAATAACTTCTATAAAATGAATAAATATTGATGAAGATAAAACTATATTATCTGTAAATGATAGAATAATTTCGTTATCGACTATTTCACATCGATCCCCACCATAACCTTTCGGGCATATGCATATAAACTTTTGCTTAGTTCGTATCTGTACATCAGCAGGAATGCATTGGCCACCATTTTGACACGTTAAGGTATTATTCGTTTCACAAATATTATCAGTAAGTAGGCATCGATAACCAAATTTATTAATAGGACATACACAGACGGATCGATTATAAGCAGATACACCAATACATATTGAATCAGACGAACATGTGCAAATATATGTTATTGTACAGTATCGTCCAGACCATCCTTGATTGCATTGACAAAACATAGCATTTTGTGAGTTATTTGAATACATAATACATTTGCCATGAATACATGGAAGATTCGAACAACTTTGAAATTTTCCATTCGTTTCTGGGATAGTAATCACATATGCCAGACGATGCATAGGTAAAAATGGGAATTTTATAGGGTATAATAGACTTCCTCGATAAGTCAATGAAATCTTTTCATAGATATCAATATGTATCGCGTAATTTTTTGTTTGATTTTTTGATTGAGTTGAGTAGAGTAAATAAGCATTAAATTTAATTTTACAATCTCTCATTGATAAATATGTAAATTGTTCAAATGACTGGATTATTCTTTCGTCGCTATCATCGACAAGTGAAACAATTATTGCAAATAATGTTGACCAGAAATCTGATAATGCTTGAAATCTAATGATGATATTTACGTGTTGATTTTGATATTCGCAACTATCACCATAAAAATCTGATGGACAAAGGCATGNTTAAGAGTGTGTGTGCAAGGTACTGTCATATATGATCGATTGTCGGTATTGCTACGTCATTGTTCATCGAAAAGAAGAAAAAAAAACAGCAAAGAACTCAGCGATTCGATGGTCATTGGCATATACTTTAATTATTAGTAAATATTATAAGGAAAATATTTTCCAAATGAAAAGCAGATTGTTAACATCTTGTTATTCCAATTATGATTGATGATATATGTTTTGTAGGAAATCGATGAATAAAAATACTTCTTTTCATACTTTATTTAGGATATAAATAAGGAAAATTCGAAATAGCATTGAAAATAGTGAAAATAATTTGTATCATATTGATTCTTTTAAATTTCTATTTTTTCAATATTTTTGTCTCGTTGCAATTCATAAATTTACAGAAGACATGAATGTCGATAGTATATCTTTGTAAAAGTTAGGTTCAGCGTAGTATTATTAGAAAAATTATTTTTTACTAATTGAACAGTAAAGAAATTAATATAAATCATAACAAGATTAGAACGGAGATAAAAAGAAGAAAAAGATGTGATTGCATAATTCATACAAATCACTAGAATTTTATTTTTATCTAAATAAATACTTTGTAAAATTACAAAAAAAAACAAAGAAATATTTCATAGAATTCAACATGAGACTTAAAGTGAATAACAATGACTGAATCAAAAGTAAAAATTATCACTAAATCTTCTATATAGTTATTTAAGTAAATTCTCTTATCAATAACTCTATAATCAAGATGGAACTGATGATAGCTAACTAAAATCTTTTAATATTTATTGAGAAATGAATCGATAAAATGAATATTAAAGAATTCATTTTGATTGAATACAAATAAATTTTGATATTTTTTCTTTCAGTTAAAAATAAAACCATATACTTGAAACTATTTGAGATCTATTATGACTAGAAACAATTTTGATGGGCAAGATTTATATAGTTAAATTTGAAAAATCAAAGAAAAAAAAACTAACTTTCAAAGATAGTTTCTCATACAATGTTGTACTTTGTTGTAGAGAAAAAAATGAATTAGCGTAGTTTCTTGAAGGTTTTTCTAGAAAATAGATAAAATTAATATGTTTCATTTATTAATTAAAAAATGAATATTTTAAAAATCTATGTTTACAACATTTTTTTTTGTGATATATGTTATCTGTATGATTTGATCATCAATAAATGTTAACTTTTGTAACTATTCAGTCTTTTTCTGTGAAGTTTCAATGAATTATTAGCTGAAGCTATAATATTAAACTTATATTTGATAATTCTTAGCATTTTTATTCAGCTTATTTTGCTTTAAAATAATAAAGGAAAGTCAAATCTTGTTATAACAAATGTTAACAGACTATTAGATTTTCTGCTTACCATATCTATTTGGATTGTACATGCAGTCGTGCTATTTAGTTCAATAAACTTTCTACTTTTATTATTTAATAAATTATCTTGATCAAAAGTTTCTATTTAATGATTTTAATGCATGTTCTAATGCAAGAACAAATACAACAAATCTATGAATAGAGATCGTTTCACTATTAAATTTTAGCCTCATCAGACTCACAACCTTTATGAAAAAAATGTCTTAAATGCAAAGACAATCGTCACTTTTCTGCACGTTGGTCTTCATTTGTGCCTTTAGATTATTGTAGAGTGGATGTCACTCTCGATCTGTGTGCACTACGATCTTTTCTTCTAGTATTCAAATTTGATTCACAATTTTCTCATTGAAGTACAAAATATAAATTTCAAAAAAAAAAAAAAGAAATGCAAGCAGCATCTTATCGATGGTTTGATATTTTAACATTATTCATAAACAAGTAACGATAGTTGACAAAATTAAATTAACTGTATTCCGTTTGAAAAAAGTCATCTCATCACTATCTGAGTATTCAACTGAACAATTATCTATCAGATTTTTCTTCCGTGGAACTCGGAATCCATATCGATTTGACACAAATATAAAAATCTCATGAACATTAGTTTTTAAATGAGATTCAGTTCTATAGCAGTGAAATCTAAAGGAACGAAGACTCTCACATTCTTAAACTTCATATGTTAAGATTTTCTAATGCTTTCTTCGCCAAATAAAAATAAAATAAATCGGGATTAGCATTGAAACAATTTCTTCTTTTCATTTATGCCTATATTGTCGAATTGAATAAAACATGTCACAATTTAACTCATCTTCAAAAGAAAGGCGTACAGTATTATTCTTAACATAATAATGAAAGGCGTATAGTAAATTGGTAGTTCTTAATAGGATTTTTTCTAAAGTTAGACTTCCCAGAAATGTTTTATACTGGTACTGTAAAGTAGAGAATTATATGCAGATTTCATATATAATCTACTCAGAATTTGTTATTTGTTTAGAAATGGTGTCTGATTATATAAACGATTACAATTTGTAGAGCTTGAAATTCTGTATTTATTTACAAAAAAAGAATTTCTTTGTATGGCAAAGTCATGAGAAAGTTACTTAAGAAATGTAANTAGACTTCCTCGATAAGTCAATGAAATCTTTTCATAGATATCAATATGTATCGCGTAATTTTTTGTTTGATTTTTTGATTGAGTTGAGTAGAGTAAATAAGCATTAAATTTAATTTTACAATCTCTCATTGATAAATATGTAAATTGTTCAAATGACTGGATTATTCTTTCGTCGCTATCATCGATAAGTGAAACAATTATTGCAAATAATGTTGACCAGAAATCTGATAATGCTTGAAATCTAATGATGATATTTACGTGTTGATTTTGATATTCGCAACTATCACCATAAAAATCTGATGGACAAAGGCATGCATTCGATCTGATGTTTTTTTCCATATCCGACCAAACAAACATAGGAATACCATGATGACATCTAAGATTGTGTACGCCAAACAATTCAAAACCATCTGTTTCCATTAATGTGTTTGTTGGCAAAGCTTTCGTTGGCCATGGAAAAGAGTTTTTAGTTGTATCTAATGAAAAATATTTCATTGGTTCTTTTAACCTGCGATGTGTTGAATGACATAAGAGACGCTCGGTATCAGAAATAATAGAAAAATTGCTCTGAGCACATATACCACTAGATTTGATGAGATTTACACTATTCGTTGAGCAAAATCGTTCATCATCGTTCAATGGACAATCGTTTTTCTTATCACACAATCTGGTTGTAGCAAGGCATAAGAAATTATTATCATCAGTACAGTAAAAACGAGAGATAACATTAATGTCTTCTATCCTTTCGCATAATTTAGGCTCGTCAGTAGCACCAAGACAATCAATATTGCCATCATTAGCTTTGTCAACAGATATACATATGAGTTGATTTGTATAAGGCGAGACACATATGTGTTCAGCTGTTGAACAATTTAATGTTGAATATGAATTACAGTCCGTTTCATCTGCACCATTCGAACAAGACCAAAGGCCATCACAACGAGTATAAATGTTATTGCATGGCCATTGTTCACATTCTGTCTCGTCTGTTTCACTTTTACCTTCAATGATTATTGGAGATATATTGGTATATCCATTACAAATGTATTGAAATGAAATATTCATTCTTGTCTTATAGATATGAAAATCTTCATCTTCACACCATTCTGGATTATAAACCTGACAATGACAAATTCCATCTTTAACAAACAATAAATGGATAGATTTGTTTGAAATTTCACATTTGAAAAGGTGTTTTAGGAGTTTAGTTGAGTTGATGTTATTAACTTGCGTGATATCTTCATCGTCTTTTTGTGGGCAATCAAATATATTGTTCATAAGACGATTTATTGAGATACATTTCGTCGAATTAATACATTGGTACATGTTTGATTTATTACAAATTTCAGAAGTATAAATAAAATTTATGTAGCGAATCTTCAGTTCATTGATGATTGGATACCATATTCGCAAATAAATGCTTTCAAAATCATATCGAATTTCATTATAACCTTTTGACACATTTGGATGGATACATGTTCTGTTTTTGAATAAAAGCCTTGTGTAATGTGAAGAATATGCCTCATAATGAGAACTATTATAACATATATACGGTATTGGCAAGCTGCTACTGGAAAAAGATAAAAAGTCATTTTTCCTATATGCAAAATAAATATCACCGAAAAAAAGCGGAGTATTTGGAAAATAAAATATATTTTTGCATGTGTTCCGAATGATTTCAATACATAATGATGCTTCACAAAGTGCTGGAAAACTGCTTTCAAATGGCATATGTATTCGAAAAATGGATTTTACAGCTGATAAACATTGTTTAGATATAGAATTATCTTCGATCGAATATATCGCTGTCAACAGTTCTTTTGTACGATGCGGATTTTGATAGCTTGACAGATAAGTAAACCACTTCCTGTCTGTACCACAACCATTTACTGATGGATTATATTTACAATACTCTGTCGTATAACTGTCATATTCGTCAGAACCATCAAGACAATCCGGAGTGCTGCTCTCATCTTTAAAAAACGACATTGGTATACATTGTCCGTTAGTACACTGATATTCATTATCATTACATTCATTTATTTCAAGTTGCCAACAATTTTCTTCGTCAATCTTACTATTGATACAATCCACTTGTCCATCACAAATTTCTCTCCAATCTAAACATGCTGATGTAGGACCACGATTACATAATAAATGCATATAACAAGTCGAAGTCTTTCGAGCATATGTATTATCTGCAATGAAGTTTTGAACCACTTCATCAATATATGAATAATTTCTAGGGTTCAAATAAATTTCATGTTGGCACGTAGATCCAAATCTTGGAAATGTACAATTATAGTAAGTTTGTGTTTCCAAAGATGTATCATTTGATGTTGATAAGTGATTCAAATAGAATTGATAATGCTCAGCTAGATCAATCGGTGCTGACCAATGATATAATTGTTGACTAGTAATATTTTGTTTAACTAACTCGCCAAAGGTAAACTTTTGGAAAGTATTATTGTTTTTAACATGAAGTTTCCATAACAATTTATTCATACAATAAGTTTTAAATTCACGCTTCATACCAACATTACCAGTTAAAGTAATACGTAAACAATTATATCGTAATCCATTACTAATTTCATTTTCAACTTCTACATCTGTGTAATGAAAATTGATTTGAGGTTTAGAAAAAATGAAGTTACAAAAAATAAAATTTAATAAAAATCTCATAGCAAGCATTTTTTTTATAGTAGATCCTATAAAGAATGAATATAGAAATGACTATTTATATAGTTTATATATTGTATAGCCTTTTTTTCTCTTAAATGTATACCTCATTGAAAATTGTGAAAACAGTGACAGTTACAAATGGATTTCTTACATGTTGTTACTAAAAAACTCGAATCATTCATGAAAGACAATATACCACGTTGAATATTCTTTATTTTGCTTTTATTGACGGCAAACTTTGATAAATCCCTTAGTATTCAAATTCTAATATTTAATTTTTGATTTTTGAAAACGAAATACTGTCATAGAAGTTTAGTCATTTGTTTGTTGGTATACCCCAAGTAGTGTTTTCTAGAACTAAACCTCTCAAATATTGATACCTCTCTATTTTTGGATATGAATATGGGTATTGAAAAAGAATCTTTGAAATTTTGAGAATGCTCAAGTATTGAGTACAAAATTTGAGTTTAATAAATTTCCATGAAAATAAGCATTATCAATTTCGATTTAATACAAAGAAAAGTGAACAGATAAGAAATCAAAATAAACTTGTAAAGCAGTTTTATCTTGTATAGTTTTAAACTAAAGAATTAACAAATGTATGCTATGCCTAACATAAAATAATATTTGTTTCGTGATATATTGCAAGTGAGAAGAAAGTCACGTCCATTTAACAATAAGAATTCTTTAGCGTATTGACTGATTAATGATTGTTCATGCTTGTAAGTCAAGAAACAGAGGCTAGTTTCAATACATTTTTGTTTCTCTTGAAATGATCAAGTTCTAGTGTAAATTTTTAACCATTTTCAATTTGAGAAGACAATCAAACAGTTTTCTTAAGAAAGAATTGATTTGTCATTTAACAAATGCAAGATTTCAAGATCTATTGAGAAGTAGTCTTATCAAGTTAAGATGTCATTTGAATATTTGTTTCAGAATCATATATTATTGTATAATAGACTGATTATACAATTAAAAATTGCAATGAATTCAATGAATAACTATTTTATAATGACTGGTTAGTATGTTTCTATATCAAACTATCAATAATTCATTTAAATTTTGGTTTATAATATCATGGGCAATATAAGTATATAATGAAGCATAATAGATTTATAATATACTATGTCTAGCCATTTACGAAGCAAAGATTGATGCCTTTCACATCAATATCTAACTCGTTGCACTTCAATAAAATGTCATAAATGATCATTTTTTTGACTTTTGCAATGTATCCTAGTAGAATGTATTATTGTAGTAAGGTTAATGAACTACATCTGACTTTTGAATTCGTTTTAATCTTTTCTGTATATATCTTTTTAACTTTTTTTATATAGACTTTACTTGTTATTTGAAGAAGTTCTATTGCTCGAGCAAAGCGACGGCGATAAAGGATGTGAGTGTGTGGAGGGGGGAGGCTATGGGTGCCAGTGTAGTTGAAGGAAATGCCTTCATCCCATACCCCAGACCCTTTATTTATTGTTCGAAAGCTATTGATTTCTCTCATTTATTTAGAATTCTAGTCTTTTCTGATGGTTGTGTGCAAGAATATGATGAACCAATGCGTTTGGTGATAAATCCGAATTCAGCATTTGCTAAGCTATTATACCATGCAAATTTTTGTTCGTTGGACATCACTATAGCTCTAACGTCTCCACAATTAAATATATTCTCATAGATACACAAACAATAAGTAGTTTTGTATACAAACAAAAGTTGCTTGTAACTAATATCGGCGCCAGAAGTCAAGGCAGGTGGATGTTTTTTGAATAACTGTCGATAGGAGCAAGCTAGCGAGCTGCGGTTTTCACCAGTCGGAAGAGACGACACTAGGACATCTTTTTTACCAATATTGTATAACACAAAATCATTTTAAAATCAAACGTTTTTTCAAAACATCGAAAAAAGGCATAAAATTTATCTGTCGTTCATGTAAAGTTTCGGCAAAATAGTAAGAAAATTTGCTTAAAAATTAAGAAAAATTTATACTTTTCGGGGATGTGAATAAAGAATTTGATTTGCTTAACATTATAATGCATGAAGATCATCATTTAGATTATATCTTAAACTATAGATTGCAGGTCCTCCTATCAAAATCACATATCAAAACCAAAATTTCCTCAGAACGACAGGCTGCTTTTATGGATGTTCTGCAATGTTGTCCAAAAACGATTGATTTTAAAATGATTTCGTCTTATACAATATTGGAGAAAATGATGCTATAGTGTCGTCTCTTCCGACTAATGGAAAGCGCAGCTCGCTAGTTGCTTCCGTGCTTAAGTTATTCAAAAAACATCCACCTGCCTTGACTTCTGACGCCGATATTAGTTGCTTTTCTTTTTAATAGAAAGAAATTTTTCATAGCATATTTGGAATTAGTATTATTGAATTTACTCTATAGATGAATAAATATCTCAATTTCTTTTGAGAGTCATATCGATTAATTCATCATAAAGATATTTATCACTTCTACTAAGCTCTTTTCTACAAAACTGCGGTGCATTGTTGGCAAACTAAATGGACTGCTTCGAGTTCTTTGAATAAAGCATACGAGAAAGTTGATATTCACTTATATAAAAGAAAGAATCAGCATCGACCAGATAATGAGAATCTCGCCAGCATTAATCTAGTAGTTGAATGAATATGTTCAGGAACTTATCTGATGCACATGGCCACAATAAAAAATTTTTTTTGTAATTTCAAACGATGAAGACATTGTTTGTATGATGTTGTTTGAAAAATTAATTTCTTCACTTGAGTACGCTTTATATCTGTTGAATCTTTTCCTTTCCTACTGTATTTCTTCTATTCAATCTTTTTATTGACAACAATTCTGCTAGTTGTTAGAGTGACAAAAAGTCTAATATATTGTTGTTTTAAGAAAGTAACTTTACAATAAATCGATAGGAAATGATAACGTATGTGTATTTTTTCACCACCTTATAATTCCCACCAATAATTCAAATATATCTTTGCCCCCACCGTTATTGCTTAACTGTTAAAAGATATTCGAATAAAACTGTATTTTCTTCGTACCCTCTCCATGTCTTTCTGTTTTTATTGTGCACTAAAAGGCACAAATTTGGGTGTGGGCTGGGTGTGGGTGGGTGTGGGTACGAAGAAAATACAGTTTTATTCGAATATCTTTTAACAGTTAAGCAATAACGGT